ACGATGCTGTTTCGAAGTATATCTAGTACCTAGTAATGATGAATCTTTTTACAGAATGAGTTTTATCTCTTTTGGAGGTTCAAAAATCAGCTTTACTCGATAAAAAGTTACTCGGTCTAATTGTGATAAATGAAAATTTTAGGAATGGATAAATGTTCTGAGGGTTGACAATGGAGTTAAGTAAAAAAGTTCACAAGTGGAGTAGTAGTCGAGAAGTGATGAGGACAAAAGGAAACACGAGGAAAAAGAGGCGAAGATGTGCTAGGGTAGGTTTCGACTTTTCAGTGTAGATCATTTTAATATGCAAATGATGAGACAAAGTATATCAGTCTTCCAAAAACTTTCTCATTTCGTACCTCTTTTATCGGAAGAATTTTTTTCTCGAACTGCGAACACAATATATCAATTTTAAATGGCATATCAATTCATCACACTTTCAGAAAAATCAGTTGATAGACACAAATCTCTTTTCGACGCCTTAATTGTAGAGTGCTCCAAAAAATTTAGTGCACACATTATCCAACTTTCAGTAATGAAATAGAAACTATAAAATCTCCGTTATGAAAGCTCGACTTCATTTGCGCCTTTAAACGGTGTTGCTACAATAAAATATAGCGGAGATCAAAAGAAAAATTAAAATGAAAGAAAGTTAACGAATTCCATATGAAAAAAAGGCAGTTCAAAGGGAAAACTTGTTTAGGAGAAAAGATGTTTCGATAACTGATTGAGACGACTTTTGATGGCTGATTGATTTCCACTTGAATTACCCTAAAATCTCATAGATAGGGCCGCCAATAGATAAGGCGGATTGTGATGCATGGTCGCATGCACTGCAACGCAATGAGTTTTTCTAAACAAATTTGTTGTTCTCGTTTGAATATTTTCGTGAATCTTTTCGTATTTTGTTACTGAAGAGTTGTTTAAGCACAGACTCGATGGCTAAAAAGAAGTTACGAACACGTGCTTGTCACGATAAAGTTTGGTGTAGAACATGGAACTTCAGCTGCCAGTTGGTCATTTTGAAGTAGCAAAACGTTTGATTCGAAAGTGGAGGGCAGAAAAGGAAAACTGCAATAGCTGCCGGCAAGAAGCTTCCTTGCTTTCAAATGGTGGAAATTGAGGAAGCTGTGTATTTGTGGACTGCACAGAAGCCAGCGGCAAGCAGAGCTGTGATTTTGAGGAGATTAAAGCAGAAGCTTCTAGGTTAGCAGAGGGATTAGAGTGGGATGATTTCAAAGCGTCGGCCTCTTGGGGCAAGGCTTTCATGAACAGAAAGAAATTGGCTGCTAGAAGGAGATCCAATCGAAATGCGTTGGACAGCTTTACAAGGAATTTTCCAAAGATGCGATTATTCTAAGCGGAATGACCAAATATCTACAGCCTTTCGATGTTGGCACTAACCCTTTCAAGGACAACCTGAAAAGCTAGGTATACCAAAAGCGGCATCAGGAAAAAGATGAGTTACAAGGTCAGCTTTTCTGAGCAACAGTTTCTATTTAATCTCTACACAATCGTCATTAGCTTCACAAAGGCTTAGACGAAGATTCATTATGTTGCTATGAATTTTGGCGATAAAATGGAAGTTGAGTAAAAATCCCGGACATTTTTTAGACTGGGACAGCACGAGTGTATGTCTTTCTCGTTCTTTTCCGAGAAAAATACGGCCTCATCAATGAGCTTTTAGGATGTTTCACAGCTGAAAATTCAAAGAAACAAGTTTTCTAGGACTTGTAAAAACTTGGATAGGATGTGTTTTCAATTCTTCTTCAAAGCAGCACAAAGGAAAATCACAGTCATGCATACTTCATGAACCTGACTGTCTGGTTCACGATCTCCAACTCCCACAACAACAAATGGAGTTCGTGATGGACGAGAAGTCTGAACAATATCGGGAATTGATCTCATTACCCACACTGATCTGGAAAATATTGGATGAAAATCTAATAGAAGTGAAGAGGATTCACTTACTTCATGGAGTCATTCTTGGTGAGATCTATATAGGTACCTACATCAAGAAGGCCAAATTCCTCGCACTCCAGAAGAAAGTCCAAGTCTTTGTTCCTCACTTTTTTCGCAGAAACTCGAAAAACGTTCTAAAACAAGAGATTAATTATGCGTTACAAGGATATGCTGTCGGGGCCGACTTGAGCGCTGATATGGCCAATTTTCGTTAAATCCAGCATATGTGCAATACAATTTAACCTGCAATAATTTTTTGAAAAGAAATGGCCTTTCTAAAACTGCAAAATCATATAAGAAAAAGGTAAACTAGATTAGTTTGGCAGAAATTTTCAATAAATCATCAGTTCTGATCTTGTTTCAAAGAAGATGTTTTAATTTCCTTATATGCTATATTAAAAGAAAACCAAATCAAGTAGATATTTACACTAACAGTTATACCATTGGAAGATCAAAAATCAACTGCTGCGTTTGCTAAAGAGATAACGATGATTTCAAGGAGAGATCTGAAATCTTATCATTCAAGCCAAATTTTAAATCTGTAGAAGACCAAAACTTTTTTTTATAACAAGTAGAGCGGGTAGAAAACACCGCCAGCCGTATCTCAGTCCCACAACTTATCTAAAGGTGGTGAGAAATCAGCCTCTTTTGGTGATAACAATTGCTTTGTAAGAAAATTGCTTCTTTCAAAACCACTATGGTCAGTTGGAGCCAGTAAAGTAATTTTGAACCCACCTGTTTTGCTTGTTCTTCAGGAAGACGAATCATACGTTTTTCAACAAAAGAAGTATTTCGCGAAGTAGGAGATACATGCGATATCACGAATTGCTGTACGGAAATTTTTATAAAGATGAGGAATTGTTAATCTTTGCAACAAATTTTGTACTTGATTCTGAAGATCATATACGGCAGAGAACTTGACATGCCCTCCAACACAGATGACGCTGCGGAGATTTTCAGGAACAATGAAATAAAAATTGACTCAGTGACTTTAGAGACAAAATTCTGATACAACCTACACTACCGCATGGGATTTTTACGAAGTTATATAACTTACAAGAAAAATATACTCCCGTGTTCCTTTGAGTATATGGTTGATGAATCTATTATTATCCCATTAGCATCAGTAACTGAAATCTGGAATAAAAACTTTTGTTGCTTCAAGTTACAAGTCTTTCATTTAAAGAAA